TATATTAAAATAATTAGAGGTAAAAGAAATAGAAAGAAAATTAAAGAGGTCGAGATCGATATAGAAGAATAAAGAGTAAGAATATAATAATAATTTAATTATACTCAATTAACGCATCTCTTGCTCGCGCCGTGAGACGAGTAGTAAATATTAATCTCGAGTTATAGAGGCCTCTAATAATAATAATAATTCAATTATAGTCTAATCTAGCTCCTATATAGGACTACGTAGACTCTTCTACCTTTCCTAGAGAAAAACCCTTCGTCGAGAAAACCCTCGTCTCGCCTTTATAAGGCGCGTATATAGAGTATACGACTCGTCTTCGTTCCGCTCGTATTCTCGCTTAATTCTCTCTATCGATTATAAGAGGTCTTTCTCTTATTATTACTCTCTACTATCTTATAGAGTATAGTATAGTAGAGTCTTCTTCTCCTCTATCTTCTTTATAAATTAGAACTACTTAAGAACCCCTAAGGCGATTAGCTAGCGAGCTATATACGTCGCGAGTACTAGATATAATAAAATCTTATCTATTCTCGCTATTTTATACTATCGTAGTAGTTCGACTTTTTTATATCTTAAATAGTATAGTAGAATATATCGTACGATTTAAGTATATATTTTATATAAATAGAGCGTAATTACGTTTAATACTCTAATTATCGCGAGCTACAATTCTAGGTCTATTATCTCGGTTCGTATTAGGAATAGAACTATTACTTACGTCTTCGTAAGGTCTATATAGAGCTTACGCCTATTCTATTTCTATAGCGTTATCTATATCGTCGAAAGATATTTCTCTCTAGGCTTATTTCGTATCGCTTTCTATCGCTCTCTCTACTACTTTAAGAACGCCTTACGCGCGTATATTATATTCGACTCGGGCGCTCTTTATCTCTAACTATCTTAATAGATCTATATACGTCTTATATCGATCTCTTACTATATACTAGCTATTATCTTCTATCTCGCTAGAGTCGGCCTAGAGTCTCGCCCTTATCTCGCCCCTAATATCGTCTTCTAGACTTAATTCGCTACTAATTATATACTTTTCTCTATTAAGTAGTATACGATTTATAGTATATACTTTCTATCTAGATTAATAACTATAATATCTAGTAGAGAGGTATATATTTTCTTCTTAAGCGCTACTCTTAATATTCTTTAGTATATATTCGTTACCCTTCTTAGATATTAGTTCTATATCTTCTTAAGTAGTACTAGTCTCGATAGTAGAAGTATACTCTATATAAGATATATACTAACTTTCTATACTTTATAGAGAAGTATAGACTATATCGTAGAGATATAGAGAAGTTTCGTATTTCTAGCGAAGAATCTCTATATCGATATAACTAGTTTTACTAAGGCCTTTAAGACTACGAGCTTCTTACGAACCGTATATATAATATACTCTTTCTACGTAAGTTTTAAGTTAAGTTATATCTTAAGAATCTTAATTATCTTCTCTTTTAAGAGAATCTTCTTACTAACGATTTATATACTTTTCCTCTACTAGTCGTCTATAACGCGTTTTCTTATAAAATAAATTAGCTAATACTTATCTAGAGCGAACTTTATCTTATACTAACTAGTCTACTATTTATAAACTTTATATATCTTAGTAAGTTTTATATAGTTATTCTTCTTTAATAGTCTCTAAATAATAATATTTATATCGTTAATAAAGCTAAAGACTAGTATATTATCTTTATACGAGTCGAGTATATCTAGTAGTTCTAAGATATAGAAGAGAAAGAGAATTAATAAAAGTAAGAAGCCCTACGAGATCTCTATATTTATCTTAATCTAGTTACTCTTATATCTAATATATACTATTCGCGTACGTTTTCTACTTAAGAAGCTCTCGATAATCTTAACTAGCTAGAGAGGGATTTCCTTAGCCTTAAGAATATTAAGAAGTCGTCTATATAGGATATTATCGAATACGCTCTAGATATCTAGACTTAGTATAAAGACTATATTTCTAGACTATATCTTCTATATATACTCTATATATACTATAATAAGATCTATAATCGAGAGTATCGAGTAATCTCTTTACGCCTCTATCTAGCTCTAAGAAAGAAGATTATATTCTTTAGCTATATCTATTAGTTAATTTACTAGCGTCTTCTTAACTACCTTAGCGAGAGTATTCTTAAGAGTAATAGATCTATATACTTCTAGAAATAAGTAGTTCTTCTTATCGTCTTTATAGAGAGCGATAATCGTAGACTTCTTAAGATACGCTAAGATCTAGTTTTACTCGAAAAGTCTATTTATTATCTACGTAATATCGACTACTAGAATAAGACTAAGTACTTTAAGTATCTTATTTAGGATCGAGTCGAGACTCGAGATCTTCTTTATTAGAAGAGTCGCGAGAAGAGCTCTTATCTCTTTCTTTATAACTCTCTAGAAGATTACGAGTTATATATAAATTATCTACTTCTTAAGCTCGCTTATTACGATTAGTACTAGCGAAAAGAACTTCTCTACTAAAATCTAGTTCTTTTCGCCTTCGTTATTTATAATTAGAAGATTCTTAGCTCTTTTTAGTGCCGAGAGATAGAGATCCTTATACGATTTATTTATACTTCGTCTATTCTATCTTAAGATATTCTATAGACCTCGAGAGATATTCTCGAATAGTTTACTTATCGCGCGCCTTTAGTTAGCTCTCGCGTTTCTTTAAATCTTCTACTTAAGCTAGTTCGCTAAATAGTATACTAGCTTTAGCTAGACTTAATCTCTAGTTATAAGAAATCTACGCTTTATCTATCTAGAGTATATAAGTAGCTTAATAGCTCTTAGCGACTAGTCTAGTCTTACTCTCGATAATAAGTATACTCTTAAATAGATCTCTTCTAGCGCTTTCTTAATATTCTACTAGATTTTCTTAAGAATCTTAGTCGTCGTTTTCTTTTCTCGCTATACTATAGTAAAGAGCTTATCTATATCGAGTCTATATAGTATAAATTACTTATTTTCTTAAGATATTAGGTT